GATTAAAATAATGGGAAATAAAAATGGCATAATGTGAAATGGAGAAAAATATGTTTTAAATGATATAATGGGGGAAATACGGCAGAAAAATGGAGTTAAACGTCGCATTTTGAGGTGAGAATAAAGATGACGCCTCCTCCTCCTCCATCAGTTCTCACCTAAACAGGGCAGGCCATGAGGTAAAGTGAGATGAAAAGAAGCCTTGAAAAGCGAAATAGGAGTGAAATAATAAAAGTCAATATTTGAGTTACACTGAGATAAGAAGGAAACCATTTGGAATGAAGAAAAATGTTTAAAATGTATTAAAGTGACACAAAATAAGGGGGAAATGAGTCAAAACAATGGGGGAAAGGGAGCATTCTGAGGCGAGAATAAAGATGGTGCCTCTTTCTCCTCCGCTTTCACACCGAAACAGGGAAAAGGCTGGCTGTGAATTAACTTGGAAGTATTTAAAGGCAAATAATAATGGAAAACAAAAATGAAATAATGTGAAATGAAGAAAAAATGCTTTAAAATGATATAAAATAGGGGGAAATGAGTCAAAATAATGGGGGAAAGGGAGCGTTTTGAGGTGAGAATAAAGATGGCGCCTTTTTCTCCTCCACTTTCACACCGAAACAGGGAAAAGGCTGGCTGTGAATTAACTTGGAAGTATTTAAAGGCAAATAAAGATGAAATAATGGAAAACAAAAATGAAATAATGTGAAATGAAGAAAAAATGCTTTAAAATGATATAAAATAGGGGGAAATGAGTCAAAATAATGGGGGAAAGGGAGCGTTTTGAGGTGAGAATAAAGATGGCGCCTTTTTCTCCTCCACTTTCACACCGAAACAGGGAAAAGGCTGGCTGTGAATTAACTTGGAAGTATTTAAAGGCAAATAAAGATGAAATAATGGGAAACAAAAATGAAATAATGTGAAATGAAGAAAAAATGTCTAAAATGATATAACATAAGGGGGAAATGAGTCAAAATAATGGGGGAAAGGGAGTGTTTTGAGGTGAGAATAAAGATGGCGCCTCCTTCTCCTCCACTTTCACACCGAAACAGGGAAAAGGCTGGCTGTGAATTAACTTGGAAGTATTTAAAGGCAAATAAAGATGAAATAATGGAAAACAAAAATGAAATAATGTGAAATGAAGAAAAAATGCTTTAAAATGATATAAAATAAGGTGGAAATGAGTCAAAACAATGGGGGAAAGGGAGTGTTTTGAGGTGAGAATAAAGATGGCGCCTCTTTCTCCTCCACTTTCCCACCGAAACAGGGAAAAGGCTGGCTGTGAATTAACTTGGAAGTATTTAAAGGCAAATAATGATGAAATAATGGGAAACAAAAATGAAATAATGTGAAATGAAGAAAAAATGCTTTAAAATGATATAAATTAAGGGGGAAATGAGTCAAAACAATGGGGGAAAGGTTGCATTTTGAGGCGAGAATAAAGATGGCGCCTCCTTCTCTTCTGCTTTCCCACCAAAACAGGGGCAAAAGGTCTGACTGTGAAGTAAATGGAAATGAAGCAAAACATTGAAAATAAAATAAAATAAAATAGAAGCATGAAGGAAAGACAAAGAGGGAAAGTTAAAGGAATATAACAATTTACAGTTTTCGTGGTTTGGTAGAATAGAATTAGTAAAAATGAAATTTCTATCTAAAATAGTTTATTTTTGGTATGGAATGATTCTATTACAAATTTCGGGAAAAGAAATAAATAAATGGCAACAAATGATAAATAAATATTGTAATTGTGGGAAAAATAATAAACTAAAACAATATAAAAATATAAAAAATATTATCAAGTAAACCAGTATTTCCATTCCATTGTTTGTAGAGTTCAGAATGCTCTTTGATTGTAGGTGAACTATAAATCCCAGCAACTACAACTCCCAAATGTCAAGGTCTATTTCCCCCAAACTCACATTTGGGCATATTGAATATCTGTGCCAAGTTAGGTTCAGATTCATCATTGTCTGAGTCCACAGTGCACTCTGGATGTAGGTGAACTACAACTCCCAAATTCAAGCTCAATGCCCACCAAACCCCTCCAGTATTTTGTTGGTCTTGGGAGTTCTGTGTGCCATGTCTGATTCTATTCCATTTTTGGTGGAGTTCAGAATGCTCTTTGATTGTAGGTGAACTATAAATCCCAAACTCAAGGTCAATACACACCAAACCCTTTCAGTATTTTCTGTTGGTCTTGGGAGTTCTGTGTGCCATGTCTGATTCTATTCCATTTTTGGTGGAGTTCAGAATGCTCTTTGATTGTAGGTGAACTATATATCTCAGCAACTACAAATCTCAGCTTTGAGCCCATCAAGGTCTATTTTCCCCAAACTCTACCAGTGTTCACATTTGGGCATATTGAGCACTTGTGCCAATTTGGTCCAGATCCATTATTGTTTGAGTCCACAGTGCTCTCTGGATGTAGGTGAACTACAACTCCCAAACTCAAGGCCCACCAAAGCCTTCCAATATTTTCTGTTGGTCATGGGAGTTCTCTGTGCCAAGTTTGGTTCAATTCCATTGTTGGTGGAATTCAGAAATCTCTTTGATTGTAGGTGAACTATAAATCACAGCTACAACTCCCAAATGTCAAGGTCTATTTTCTCCAAACTCTACCAGTGTTCACATTTAGGCATATTGAGCACTCGTGCCAAGTTTGGTCCAGATCCATCATTGTTTGAGTCCACAGTGCTCTCTGGATGTAGGTGAACTACAACTCCCAAACTCATGGTCAAAGCCCATTAAACCCTTCTAGTGTTTTCTCTTGATCATGGGAGTTAGATGGTCAGGGGTGCTTTGAATGTAATATTCCTGCTTTGTGGCAGGGGGTTGGACAGGATGGCCCATGAGGTCTCTTCTAACTCTATGATTCTATGACCATCGCTTCAGTGCTGGTGGTCTTTGCTTCTTCCAGCACGCTGACATTTGTCTGCTTGTCTTCCCAAGAGATTTGCAGGATTTTCCGGAGGCAGCGCTGATGGAATCATTCCAGGAGTTGCATGTGACGTCTGCAGACAGTCCACGTTTCATAGTCGTATAGCAGGGTTGGGAGGACAATAGCTTTATAAACAAGCACCTTGGTCTCCCTACAGATGTCCCGGTCCTCAAACACTCTCTGCTTCATTTGGAAGAATGCTGCACTTGCAGAGCTCAGGCGGTGTTGTATTTCGGTGTCGATGTTGACTTTTGTGGAGAGGTGGCTGCCAAGGGAGCGGAAACGGTCAACGTTTTCTAATGTTACGCTATTAAGCTGTATCACTGGCATTGGGGAGGGATTGGCTGGTGACTGCTGGAAGAGCACTTTTTTTTCTTGATCTATATAAATAAAAATGTAATGTTCGTTTGTGATACCATCAGAACTCAAAAACCACTGGCGAAATTGATATCAAATTTGGACACAAGACACCTAACAGTCCAATTTATGTCATCCACTCAAAATTGATTTTGTCATTTGGGAATTGTCGTTGCTGCGATTTATAGTTTACCTACAATCAAAGAGCATTCTGAACTCCACCAATGATGGAATAGGGCCAAACTTAGCACACAGGGCTCCCATGACCAACAGAAAAAACTGGAAGGGTTTGGTGGACATTGACCTTGAGTTTGGGAATTGTAGTTCACCCACATCCAGAGAGCACTGTGGACTCAAACAATGATGGGTCTGGACCAAATTTGGCACGAATATTCCATATGCCCAAATATGAACACAGATGGAGTTTAAGGGAAATAGCCCTTGACATTTGGGAGTTGTAGTTGCTGGGATTTATAATTCACCTACAATCAAAGAGTATTCTGAACTCCACCAATGATGGAATTGAACCAAACATGGCATACAGGACTTCCATGACCAACAGAACACACTGGAAGGGTTTGGTGGGCATTGACCTTGAGTTTGGGAGTTGTAGTTCACCTACATCCAGAGAGCACTGTGGACTCAAACAATGATGGATCTGGACCAAACTTGACACAAATATTCCATATACCCAAATATGAACACAGATGGAGTTTGGAGGAAATAGACCTTGACATTTGGAATTTGTAGTTACTGGGATTTATAGTTCACTACAATTAAAGAGCATTCTGAAACCCACAAACGACAGAGTTGGGGCAAACTTCCCACACTGAACCCCCATGACCAACAGAAAATACTGAAGGCCATCCAGTCCAACTCCCTGCATCAGGGCAAGAAAATGTAATCAGAGCCCTCCTCACAAAGAGCCATTCAGTCATAAATATAGATAGATATGATGCTCTCTCACACACACAGATATAGTATCACAGATTTGAAAGAGACCCTTAAAGAAGGACTATGATATGTTGCATATTCCAGAGTAGGCAAACCAGACACTCTCCACATCAACACTGACAAAGAAACAACAAGAAATACTAGGTTCTTGTGGGTTTTTTGGGGCTATAGGGCCATGTTCTAGAGGCATTTCTCCTGACGTTTCGCCTGCATCTATGGCAACCATCCTCAGAGGTAGTGAGGTCTGTTGGAAATAGGACAATGGGTTTAGAAAGTACTGTTTACTCACAAGCAGAAAGGAATTACATATATTAGAAACAAACACTTTCTCATTACTTTATTTTCCAGATCTCTAGACTGGGCCACAGCAACGCCTGGCAGGGGATGGCTAGTATTCAATATATCTATAATATAATATAATATAATATAATATAATATAATATAATATAATATAATATAATATAATATATACAATATAAAATATAATATAATATAATATAATATAATATAATATAATATAATATAATATAATATAATATAATATAATATAATACAATATAATACAATATAATACAATATAATATATGGGGCAGTGCCAAAGAGGCTTGAGTTCCAATCCACCAGGCTTTTGTAGGCGGGGATACAAATAGGCTCCTCCCCCTTCCCCAGCTGCCCGTCTCCGGAGGGAATCCGAAATGGCGGCTCGTGATTGGCTGGGAAGCCCCGCGGGGGCGGGGCTTTCAGGCCAAGGGGGCAAAATGGCGTCGGAGGGCCTGATCGCGTCCCGCTTGGAGCGCCAGGAGAGGGAGATTCGTTCCTTGGCGGCCGAGATCGAGCGCCTCAAGGAGCCCGGTCTGGCCTCCGGCGCCCCGCCGCTTTCCCCCTTCTTCTCCTCTTCCTCCCCGGAGCTGGAGGCTCTGCGGGCCGAGAACGAGAAGCTCCGCTACCGCCTGACCCACCTCCAGCGGAGCCTCAGAGCCGAGCGCGCATGCGCCAAGGGAAGGCCAGGCCCACAGGTAGGTCACCATGCAGGGAATCATCCCAGCTCCAGATTGAGAAAGAGTATTATAGCCATGGGTTGTTGTAGGTTTTTGCGGGCTATATGGCCATGTTCTGGAGGCAATTTTTCTCCTGACAAGTCTACATAGGGACCACCAAACGCAGCAGCATTGCCCAGACACGCATCAAGGAACATGAAAGGCACT